TTCCCCGTGTCCTGCCACTTGTCGTCCTTGGGCGCGATCGTATAGCCGTCGTAGGGCAGGAAGCCATTGGTCACATAGGCGGAGGCGGGCGCGCCGGAGTGATGATAGTCTGTGTAGTAGCTGCTCACACCCTGCAGTCGATATTGATGGAAGAGATTCTCGGTCACGGGATAGAAATTGGTCGAATGCACTGAGGTGCCCATGTAGATGTTATCCGCGGCGGTGGCATAGGGCGAGGTGGTATACATGGGATTGAGATTGGAGTAGGCGGCGGCGACAGCCACAGCGGGATCGGGCAGGTATTCGACAACGGGCGCGGGTGAGGTGACCTGAAATTGTAAATGCTGGGTTTAGTTAGGAAAACCTGTTTTTTTAAAAAGGATTGTAAAAGAAAGCTTCCAGCTTACCTGCCCCAGTGGTGATGTTTGTTGTGGTTGTTGTTGCATTTTACGTTTCGTACGACAGGTGGAGAGAAAATCACGTAATTGCGTTTTATAGCGTCGATTTGGCCGCGTAGGTGTGACTGGCGGTGGCAGCGCATTTGGCGAAGTGCTTGGCGGTACCACCAGCTGATCTGCCTCTGAGAAGTATGTGGACGCAAGTCCGGTATCCAAATAGCTCACTTTGAAGTCCATTGTACGTTTGCCCAGCAAATCGTGTCCCTCCTCGTCCATCAGTTGCCGGTGTGTGCAGATCACAAAGTCTGGTTTGGAGTTTTTGTAGACCAATCGAGAGCTGTAGAGAAGGTGTAAATTAATAAGTGTTCATAATAAAGACAATAAAAATGGCATGATAAATATTTAATAAGCTCGAAGCGTTAGGCACTATAATGTCGCATATCTTCAATCTTATTACAAGCCCTTTTCCTGTAGACCTTTAAATAATGTACACTGCTTCATTGTCTGCTGTTCGAATCAGCGGTCCGTGCTTACGATAAGAACTTTTTGGGCGTAGTGTTATAATAAGACTCTACACCGATTATATACCATCTACATAGAGATGATTTACACCCGAATAGTGGCAGAAAAATCTTTAGCTTGCTCGTAGGGACCTATTCTCCGAATTTCAAAGGCACTGCGCAAAGCTCGCGAAAGGTTTGGGAGAATTGTGTACGAGAAAACGATACAAACTGAAGAAAATTTTTTAATGAATACAAAATAAAATAGGTTCCTAAAAATAAATTAAATATAAAAATTTTCTTTTTTAAACACGAAATCTTAAAATTTAAAGCAATTTAAATAAAAAAGAAATAATTATAAATTTAAAAAAGTAAAAAAGTAAAACTAAAAATTTTATGAAACAAAAAAATTTGTTTCTTTTTAACACAATAAAATCTAAAAATTAAAATAAACTTTAATTAAAAAATAAAACAATAAAAAACAACAAAAAGAAAAACATTTAAAAATTTTCTTAAAATCAAATGATTACAAAAAACGTTAAACCTTTTTAAAACAATAACATCTAAAATTTAAAAGAAAATTTAAATAAAAAAGAAAAAAGAAATAACAATGAAAAAAAAATTTAATTAAATATAGTTAACAAACTACTTTTATTTTTAAAACGTTAAAACCAAAAAAAAAGAAAATTAAATTAAAAAAAGAAAAAAATAATTGACAAAAAAATAAAGTTCTAAAAATCAAATGATTTATACAATACAATTTTTCTTTTAAAAACAATAAAATCTTAAAATTAAAAGAACATTAAGTAAAACAGAAAATTGAAATAAAAACAAAATAGAAAAGTTACTAAAAATTAAATGATTTAAAGAGATATTTTTTTAAACAGTAAAACTTAAAAATTTAAAGAAAACTAAGAAAAGGTTTCTATTAAAAAAAAACAAAAATACAAAAACAGTTTTAAAAACAAAAACAAACAGTTTTAGTGAAACAAAAAAAGTATATATATTGTTTTCTTTTTAAAACATAAAAACTAAAAATTAACAGAAAATTTTATTCAAAAAAATTAAAAATTTCCGCTGGCCGAGTGTTCAAACCTCGGATCTCTCGAATATCACGTCAGTGTTTTGCTCCCTCAGCCATTTGCGCTGTTGGAGCAGCGCCAGCAAAATTTAATAGTCATCATTTGGAAAACCTCCATGAAAATTGGCATTGAAGCTTTTTTTGTAAGACTTTGCCTAGACTTAAAATTATCTTAGCCAGAATTGCTTTGAAATAAATAGTTCTCACATATTGGTCAAAGGGCTACACTCAATAGACCATGTCAGGGATTCCGGGTTAGATTAGCTCATAGTCGAAGGATTCAGAAGTTGCGATGCAGTTTTTTGGTGTCAGAGAGAAATCAAATTTGTAAGAATAGGTTGAGATTGAGGCGCAGCAGTTTCAATTAACCATCGGTATAAGAAATAATGTCACATTCTCAATACTATCCGTCTTGTACTATAAAAGATAAGATAAGAAAAGGAATCTTCTTCTCAGAAACGAGTGTATGTCCAAAAGTCAAATCCTAAATAAAATAGTGTTTTGGTTGGGAAAGGATTTGTAGGACTATTTCCTGCAAGGTGTCTTCATATAATTATATGTCTCAGCAAAGGTGAGAGCTTATACTCAAAAAATACTCACCTTGTTTGCAGCCATTGCCATTCACCACTCTTCTTTTGATAACGATATGCAATCATGCCGGAAGCGCCTGTTTTTAGTACTAAAACAAAAGAAAGGATGAGTGCTTAAAAACGTTTCACCTGCAACTCAATATTTAAAATTGTCTACTTACATTCCTGATGCGCACTAGCCACATAAGCCAAATCATCGTAATGCACCAAATCATAGCCGCCCATATTGACTAGTTCCGCATCTGAGTAACCCAAAACGTGCTTGCCGCTGTTGAGTTTGATAACAAAAACTTGCGCTAAGTAATTCTACCTCCTACCAAGTATACTCACCGTTGATCCATGGAGACAAGCGAAAAATCCAATTTATGCTTGGACTTGAACATATTCTCCTTGTGTGGTATCTCGAGCAGACTTGGCGGTCCGAAGGGTGTGCAGTAGGCAAATAGCGCCAGTGGAGGTTCTTCTGTCTTTCGATTTTGGCCATGCAGAATTTTGATACGTCCACGTATGTCCAATCGCAGAAAACCGGAAGTATTATCGAGCAGGCAACGAAATCGCACTGTAAAGCTACGCTCCAAATAGAGCGCCTTATCGGGCGCCAACGTATCGGCCAACTGAATGGTGGACATATCGGCGGGCAGGAAGGAGTTCCACAATAGCTGCCGTTGCAGCTCTTCACGATCCTCGGAATGGACCAGTTCGT